GCGGGACCAGGTCTGGGAGTCTTGTTAGGCTCCCGAAGTTGTCTCCCAATCTGCTTCACGTGCCGGTCCCATCTGGGAAATGGGGTCCTGTTGTCTCGGCGCCGGGATTGTTCGTGGGAGTTGCTGAGAGGCTGGGGTTCTCAGGGGGAGTGCCGGCGTGGTCAGGGGCACCTGTGGTTGCGTCGGGATGGTCGCCGGACTCGTTGCAACGGTCGCCGGGGCCGCCGGGGCCGTTGGCATCGATCGGGTGAGTTCCTGGACGTCCTGGATGGACTTGGGGTCTTCCAGTATCTCCCGGTGCATCGTATTGTTGACCTTTTTTTTTTTTTCGTGGTTCAGTTGGATCATGTTCTTCTATCCAGAAATGAAGGGGGGGGGCAGATTTTGCAGCCGGGGTTGTCGTCCCCGAGGTCCAGGACTACGTGACGACTGCCCCAGTGGTGGATCCCCCCCTGCCCTCCGTCACGTCCCCCTGCGAGGACGTAACTCTGGCGTAGATATTCCGACACTTTTCCAACATTACAGCCTACCCATCTCCTCGTTGATTGCTGAGTTCTCAGGGACGGGATATAATTGAGAAGGGCAGGGAGGTCTTGTAACATTACGAATGGAAATGATAGTCAACCGTCGTAGAGCTTCGGAGTTAGTGCCAGTAGAATGACTGTCTCGGTCCATTTCCATCCTTCCACATAAGTACCACCTTACCTCACATACCTAGGGAGGTAAGTACCCGGGCAATTTCTACACTAACGAGGATCGGTCAATCAAACACTGCTAGGCTCGAGCAGCAGCCATGGAAAAGCTTGATCACGCTCGTCTTTGGTGACTTTATTACTGGACTGGTGCATGGCACCGCGCGGGACATTTTCAAGCTTCCATGATTCAGGCCCTGTTACTTCACAGAACATTTGCGGAACCTGCTCACCCAGTGCGGATTCCCCGAGTGCTTGCTGACTTTGATTCCCCGGCCGCCATGACCCTAGCGACACCGACGCGCTGGTGCTGGGACCGTGGGAGTCTTGGACACAGACGCTCAGCCTGATGGAGAGAACTTGAGAAGTGGTGGAGTCGGAGCAAGGGTTGTCATGTTTCGAACCCGCACAAGTGCAGATCCCTGGCCCAATAACAATCCCCAATCCGTCTGCTCAGACCCCGTTTCTTGCCGATTTGGGCCATGGAGTGGCCCGCTTCAGCGGCCTGTGCGGCTGTCCTTGTTGGCATACTTGCTCTGGCCAAAAAAAGCCGAGCTCGAAACGGGAAAAAGAGAGCAAGAAAAGAGAAGTATAAAAGCAAACGAGAAAAGAAAAAGAGGTAAAGGAAACCGAGCAAAAAAATGATTTTTTCTTTGAAACAAAGAAAAAAAAAGAAGTACAGTCAAAAGTAGATTTTGGTCTTCCGAATTGCTTTCTTTTCGTTCCTCTCGTCAACGGTTTCGTCGGCGCCCACATTCGGAGTTCGGCTTTTTTTTGTCCTGGGGCGGCATCCGGTCCCAAACGGGTTGGGGGGCTTGCCACTAGTCTTCGGCCGACAGGAAATCCAGAAGCCCCGTCCCTGTCACACCAAACAAACGAGCCCTGTGATCTTTGTGGCGCTCGGATGATTTTGCCGGGACGCAGGGAGGAATCCTGGCCACGTGTGGGATGGTTCAGTTTTTGACCTGGGGAACGATTCGAGGGCCACATCCCGTCGTCTTTGCCCGGCGCGATCGAACCGCACGTCCGCACATCCACACATCCGCACATGTGGTGCACATTCCTTCTGACAAAGAGAGGGTTTGACTGACCTACCATCTGCCACCCCTCGGGCCCTCTCCTGCCGCTGTGGCTTCTTACAGGCATGCGTGGCTTTGTTTGATGGTGACAACCTGCAGCTTGCGCCCAGCCTGCAATCAAGCCGTGTTGAGCACCAGGCATCAGGCGGCATTGGAGGGTCGGTGGGTTGGGAGGACAAGGACGCCGTCGACCAGGGGGACGTGGAGATGAAATACATAGAGATGAACCCGATCGGTGGGGAGAGAGTCAATCTTTTCATGCCCTATCCCCGCAGGGAAAGAACTTTGGGTTGCAGCTCGATAAGCGAAAAATGAGGTCTCAGCTGCTGCCATGGCAGCCACCAATCTGGTGGGACGAACCAAGTTCTGGTACCACGGCCTTACACGCGAGCACGGATATCCCTTGCGGCGGTCCACCACCAAGGATTGGCTGATCTCCCATCCCCGCCTGTCATCGGAGGGTTACACGGATGCAAGGGCACAGATGCACCTGCGCGATCTGATCTCGGCCCTGTCGTCTCAGGTCCAAGCAAACCAGCAAACAGCTGACTCCCGGGATGCACCCACCCACCGCGGTACGGAATATCCACAAAGAGAGAGAGAGGAAGTCATGGGCTGAGTGGCGTCTATATTTGCGTTCCCCCCCGGCTTGCGTACATATCTCACCTTGCCCTTCCCCGTCTTGGGATTCCCTATCCTTTTTTTTTCTCTCCGTTTCCGATTCTCGTCCTTGTCGAGCTTGGTTTTTAAGGACTCACATGAAGCATCATTCTTGAATTCGCATTGACCCTCACCGCAGCCTGCGTTGTCGGCGCATATCACCTCGCACCATGCGGTTTCAGCCCCCCTCGTGGTTGAACTGGTACAAAAAGCCAGAATACCGCGACATCAAGGAGTATGCCACCAATGTCAGCGCCGGACGACGCCCCGTGAGCCCGGACGGCCGCAATGGAGGCATCCCCAGCCGGCTGCGGCTCGACCGCATCCTGGCAAACAAGACATGTAAGTCATGTCACACGGCAGTGGCATGTCTCGGGCTGACATGGTTGTTTGCCAGGTAGCCCAATGTCCCTGTACGACTTTTACATGTACCTCAAGCACATTGAGTACTCGGCCGAGAACCTCGAGTTCTACATGTGGTGTGTTTTCCCGCTGCCTTGGATATGATGGGGCCAGGGACTTGACTGACAACCCCCCAGGGTTCCAAGAAACTACAGAAGCTGCTTATGCCCCAGGGCATGGTAATCGAAAACAAAGGAACTACGGGTTCCATTCCCCAGCGCCACTCAGTCTTACCTCGTGCTGTGACCCGGGATCCAGCCCGGCGACAGTGCCGGAGACCGATGACAACGACAGCGAAGCGAGTTCGTCACCCCCCTCCACCATTCCATCTCACCCCTTGCTAACACACCCCCCTCCCTCCAGCCCAAGAAACCCTCGCCCAGCATCTCCCAACTCATCTCCACCACCGCCCTCTGCACCTCCAAATCCGCCCTGCGCCACCTTCCCTCCCCCCGGAGAGAACACCACCACCACCACCAACAACAACCGGCCCCCCCAACCCCAACCACCGCCTCATCAACCCGACCCCGACCACCAACCCCCCCCTAACCGACCTCACCACCATCACCACCCTCTTCCTGCACCCCAACGCCCCCAAAGAACTCAACATCCCCCCGCATCTCCGCAACCAAACCCTCGCCGCCCTCTCCACCGCCACCACCTCCGGCCGCCCCCCTTCCCCCGACACGCTCCGCCCCGTGGCCGAGCACTGCTACACGCTGCTGCGCAACTGCTCGCACCGCAACTTTGTGCGCCTCGGCGTCGGCAACGGCACCTTCGAGACGGTGTGCGTGGCCACGGTGCTGGGGTGGGCGAATCTGCTGGCCGGGTTCGTGCTGGTGCTGTGTCGGGCGGTGGTGCCGCGGCGCGGGGCGCATGCGCGGTGGGAGGTGTTCGCGGCGTGGCCGTTGTGGTGGTTGGGGATGAGTTTGGTGTTGTCGGGGCTGAGGGGGAGTTGCTTCTTTTTGTTGTTGTTTTCGAAGGAGGCAGCGGTTTGCCGTGGGAGAGGTTTGATGATGATGGGGGTGATGGGGATGGGGGGGGAGGAGACGGTTAGTGGGGAGAGGGGGAGGCCCGGGAGCGGTGAGGGAGAATGAGAGGGTCTGTGGAGAGGGGGTTTAGTTTGTGGAGGGGCGTGAAGAGGCTGATGACTTTTGATCTGAGGATTCGCGTGCCCGAAGAGGCTCCTGAGGGCGGTTGCAGCGGAAGATTGTGGGGCAGAGCTTGATGGGGGGCGCTGTCTTTGCGTCGCTGTGTGTCCTGCTGTTTATCTGGTTGCCTGTGTGGAGGGAGACGGTGTAAGGGGGAGGAAGTAAAGAACGGTGGATGGGTTGGGGTCTTCTTTATCATACCATCGTGCTGGAAGCGAATTTGGGGGCAACGGATGATACCTTGGGTTGTGTTGTATGATGACCGACGTTCCGATTTCTTTTGTTATTACCTACTCTTCGATTCTATTATGAAACTCTTATTCGGCCCTGCAAATGTGCAATGAGGGAACTGCCACTGTTGTTGCCATGGGATATTGTTGCAAGCCACCGGCACACACATGCACCTGTGGGCGTTGAGAATACTGTCTGCGGAATGGATAGCCAAGGCGTTGTCGTTCATTGCTAACGTATTAACACCTTTGACGGTCTAGTCGTTATGTATCATCATTCCAACTGGCTATCAATGGCAAGGCATAGTACCTTAGGCAGTTTGGTCCGCCCTAGCGCCGGTTATATAAATGTCTCACGTACCTAGGTAAGTAGGTACGTATCCTAGCTAGGTAGGTGGGTAAGGTGTCTAGGTGTCTAGTTCCATATCACTGCATGATCAATCTACCTTAGTGTGCCTCACGATCGACAAGTCCGAACATTCGGATATTTACCCCCTTCCTGCTGAGTACCTCCTAACCCTTCTTGCCAACCCGGGGTGTCATCGTTCGGTATACTCTTTGCGGAAACCTCCTCTGCCTCTTCTATGAAGGGTTGCCCTGTGTCGTGCTCCTCAGTGTCCTCCCTGTCAACGCTCCCTCGGTAACGTTCGCCGTGTCAGCCGTGAAGGATCGGGTCTAGTTGTTCGCTCAGTCGATGCTTCTCTTGGCCGCCACGACGATACTCCGCTATCCCCGCTTTCTTCTCTCGCTTGACCCCCAAAATCCGACCCGAAGAGTCCGGCGTTGAGCTAATGCATGCCGGCGACTCCCTCGATGGACGGTTCTGGACGGTTTTGGACGCTTTGCAAACCATGGGGCAAACCGGAAATCGAGAACGACGCGGGGATGCAGCCGGAAATAGCTGTCCTTCTAGCGCTGTTTAGCCCGTACAGCCATGCCCTGCAATCGAGCTTTTCCGGATCTTGATCTTCGCTTCCGCCTGCTCGGCTATTCGGGTGACATCCCGCAACGTCTCCCTCCGCCCCCCTAGATTAGGAGTCTCCACGGGCCACGCTCTCCCGTACCCTAGCAGAATCTCCGCCAATGAGCAGCCCACTGTCCCTGAATTGGCTCCGACTTCAACCTGGTATCCGGGACAAAGGAAGGCTATTTGGATCAGATTGCGGTCCTTGGCAGGAAGTATATATGATGGCGCATCCGTTGTGCTTCGGGTACACCCTGTTTGCTCCCATCCAAGCTTGATATCTTCACGACTTCAAAATGGGGCGCTCTCTCTCTCGGACAACTCTGGCACTCCTTGCCGCGGCCCCCGGGGCCCTGGCTGCGGATACGGCTGGGTTGTGGACACAGTGCGGTGGCATTGGATACACGGGGCCGACAACATGTGTTTCTGGCGCTTATTGCATGGCGTATAACGACTGGTACCGTAAGTGGCGAAATAACTGGGAATCGGTCGAACAACGCATGTTGACAATGCCATAGACCAGTGTATCCCGGGCCAGGCCACGACCACCCCCGCCACATCCACCACTCTGGCGACGTCGACCCGCACGAGTTCGACCACTAGCGCGGCGTCCAGCACCAGCAGCGCCACGCCTGATGATTGCTCGGTGCAGTTCCTCATTACCTTTGGCGACTCGTACTCCCAGACGGGCTTCGACGTCAAGGGCACCAAGCCCTCCACGAGCAACCCGCTCGGCAACCCCGCGTTGCCCGGATGGACCGCTAGCGGCGGCTTGAACTGGGTTGGCTTCCTGGCCTCCCAGTACAACCGGTCCACCCTCCTGAGTTACAACTTCGCTTACGGCGGTGCCACCACCAACGCCACCATTGTCCCTCCTTACGAGCCGACGGTGCTCAGCTTCGTCGACCAGGTCAAGCAGTTCAGCGACAGCATCGCCAAGAAGCCCAGCTATGCGCCCTGGGGAGACAATGCCCTGTTCGGAGTCTGGATTGGCGTCAACGACGTAGGCAACGCGTGGTGGAAGGAGGACTACGACCAGGTCGTGGAGCAGATCATGGCTACCTACTTCGGGCAGCTGCAAATTCTGTACGATGCCGGTGCAAGGAACTTTGCCTTGCTCACCGTGCCGCGTAAGTTGTTCTTTGTCCTCTGTACTCGGGGAATCGCTAACCAGAACGTGCACAGCCATCCACCGGACCCCGGCGGTTCTCGAAGGATCCGAGGATAACCAGAAGGCCGAGGCAGCTGCCATTGCCAAGTACAACGATGCCCTGACTGCTGGCCTGGCCGCGTTCAAGACCAAGAACAGCGGCATCACGTCCAAGATCATCGATACGACTGTCCCGTTCAACACTGCGCTCGACAACCCCACGAAGTACGGCTCGCCCGACGCCACCTGCTTCAACAGCGACGGCAAATCATGCCTCTGGTTCAACGACTACCACCCTGGTATCGAAATCAACAACCTCGTTGCGAAGGCTGTCTCGGATGCCTGGAAGGGAAGCTACTTCTAGGCTGTCCAGGGGCGATGTCAATAATTCTTTGACCTCTTAGCTTGGGACAATGAAATCATATGCCAGTTCAAAACAGAGATTGTGCACTTGCTATTGGCCCATATTCTTCTCCATTCCTCCTGAGTAAGCGTGTTGAAGTATAGGTATTGGAACTTGGACAACTGTCATGTTCTAGAATCCAACGAATCCGGGACACACGACGGTTCAGGACTCGAGCCTTTGAGTATTTCAAACCCGAGAACGCGCTTGACCCCTGTAACAGTGACCAAAACACCACTCATATTGACAACCCAACCCACCATTACCAGCACACAATATTTTCCTTTGTTTGATACTCACTCGCAGTCTCCACCATGAGCCTCCTTTACATGTTGAAGTTCATCCCCTCGGTGACGACCACCGACGAGAAACGGGTCTACTTCTACGCCATCTCGCACGTCTCCATCGACACCAACCTGGACCCCGCCGAGGATGTAGCCATCCCCCAACAAGAAGAACAAACACCAACCTCCCTCACCACCCCACCACCCCCTCCACCCCCCTCTCGCCCCCGCTCTCCCCAGGTGCCCTGCCCCCCCCCTCCCCCCCGCCGGTGCCACGCAGGTTGGTTCACCTCGCGCCCTCGCCGTGCGCCAGCCCCGCGACGGCCGAGGCGCTGACGAGCTGGAAGACGATCCGGTTCTTCAGCGCGGTGTTCCGGCTGATGGTGGAGGCGCTGGCGGGCAGCAACAACACCGACGACCCCGTCACGTACGCCCACGCCGAGCTGCTCAAGGACGGCACGAGGCCGGACATGGCCGCGTGCGCGCTGCTCATGCCGCTGGCGATGATGCGTGGTGCGGTGGATTGGTTTCTGCGGCGCCGCCGCGAGGTGATGAGGAGGTGCGCGCTGGCGGAGGAGAGGGGGGTGAGGTGCATGTATGGGCGGCGGCGGGGGTCGGGGGTGCTGGGGATGGAGGAAACCGTGAAGGAGTGGGATGCGGTGGTGTTTTATCGGAGGCTGGATAGGTTTATTGACTTGGGGGATGTGCAGGATTCGATGCGCGCCGAGCTGGAGAAGGGGGGCTGGCCTGATTCGCGATTCCGTTGGTGACATGACTGAACGTCTAGGCTAGTTATATGTATGTTTGGATCGCCGGTGCGTTGGTGGTGTGTACACACCTAGTTGGATAAAATACAGGTGAATTAGTCCTTGAGTGAGTTCCCTATCATGAGTTCCCCTTTTGAGTGACTTGACTCATGGTGCCACGTGCATTGTACAAAAAGAAAGCTGGTTTGAATCAAGAGCAAAAGAATGATACTTACATGCAATCAGCCGTAGGTTGGGAGTTTCAGGTCATAGCGTAACCGGAGAGTTGTGGCGGTCATGGTTGCAAACCAAGTAGGTACTTAAGCAACAAAACTGGCTAGGTACCCAGGGGAACTCGATGACAGCTGTCATACACTGCCCCCCCTACGCGGATATCATGTATGCCTGTGTGTTGTTGGGTCATAGCTCGCTAGGTGCGACTCAGGTACTACAATCTATGGGATGGAGAAGCGTTGTGAATAAAGGCTGTGTGTGTGTGACCTTTGGTGGTAAGCACAACGAACACCTCATCACTCTTCCCCTTTTAAAGGTTGCTACCCATTCGCTCCTCAACCACAGTAATATCCTGCTTCCTTGACACTGACTGGAACTCCGAAAATCCGCAAGCCAACATCTAGCTTACGCTATAATCCCTGCCCACCTCAATAGATCAAACTATTCTATATAATACAACAACATCGCACATCTTGCCCCAGCCAGGACCCCTGAACCAACAATAATATAGTCAAAGGAAGTTCCCATCCTGGATCCTACCCTTTCAGTGATAAACACTCCTACCACGACCACAACCACGAGCGCTAACCCCCCAACAACCTCCACCGACACACTCAGTCAACACCCTTCTCGCCTGCCACCTCCTCCTCGCGACACTCTTTGGCATACACCACCCACACCACCAGAACCAGCCACTCCACCACGTATCAACCCCCAACCCACACCAACAACACCACCAACCCAACCGTCAGCGGTAGCACTCCACAACCCGCCCACAATGGGCTGGCCATGGCCGGTCTTCAGTCCGGCGCTCTACAAGCAGTGGAGGGAGCGGTGGAGGGCGAGGCGGGAGAGGAAGCGCAGGGAGGCGCGGGAGGGGGCGGTGTTGGATCGGAGGGAGATGGAGAGGGAAAGGGAGTTGGAGAGGGAGAGGGAAGTGGCATTGGAGGGTGCTTCTCGGCGGCGGGAGGGGGGTTGATGGGGGGGTTGGTGACATGGGGATTGGGTTTAGGTGGGGTGGGTGGGGTGGTTGGGAGGGGGATGAAGGTTGTGGGATGGG